TTCTGCCTCTGTAATGCTTCAATCAGGGCTCCCAGGGCCCTGCTTGAAAGAGTAAAGGTGACCTGGGTGGCTCTACTGACCAGCTTGCTCTTACCACATTATTACAGTGCCAAGATACTCCAAAGAAGCAGCAGCGAGAGTTCTGCTATGACACTGCTCATGTGGAGATCTCAAGAGTAACTAGCAGAGAAAAGTTATTTTTTGCTGATATACACCAGCATACACAGTGATACTCTGTCCTCTAGGTGCTACTGCAACATAAAGAAATACAATTATATTTTACTAATAACACGAATTTGTTTTAGTTATTGTATAGTATTATTATATAGTATTGTTAATTACCTTTACTGCTACTGAAGCTGTAGTAATACAGGCAGAATGCCAGGCAAGAATTACTTCTATACGGTGCAAGATTGCATTGATCGCTTAATTTGTTTCTGTATCTCCTGCATTGTGCTGAGACTTGCCTAGAGAAGCATAGTGTTTGTCACTGGAACAGCACAAACCTTCTGGTAAAGAAGAGCTTTTAAAGAGCTGATTGGCATTTGGTAATACCTGGAACTGTTTAAAAAGCCTTGTTATATCTGCACCAAGTCTGTTAGATTTGTTCTATTTTGATTAACAAAATCAGATCAGTGCTAATAGTGGGGGGAAACCTGCCAGCTTCTCTTCTGGCAGGCTGGTGCATATCCCAGACTCATCCACCATATGTTACAAAAGCTGACACAGGAGGACAGCCAGTTATCCTGGCTTTGCTCCTCGTTCTGATAAGCACAGTGAATCCTACCCAAATGGCTGGAAGTGTCCTTGAAACTCCACCGTGATTTCTCTGATGGGGCAAGAGGCTTATTGAGATTAACTCTGCAAGCAAGTAAATGAGGCGGAAACTTGCACCCTGACACTGTATTTAACCTGTGTCCAACAGACCACTTCCCTCCAGGAAAGGTGAATAAATGTGGCAATTAACCCAGTGTCCTATTAACTCGCATCCAGCCCTGTCATGGCCATTAGCTTGCTGAACAGCTTCAGGCAATTTACTTTTCTCCCTCTGCTCTGTTTTCTGATCTGTAAAATAGGATGGCAAACACCAGTTTTCCTGGGCAAGCTGCTCTGACATCTCAGCACCTGTAGCAGGGGGTGTACCAATCTGTTAAACTGATGTGCCTGTGTGGGAGTTGGACATCTTTTGTCTCAAGCTTGAGATGAGCTTCCAAGGTGCCACTGCAGCAGGAGGGGCATCTTCAAAATAACTTGGTTCTGAAGATACATACATACATATATATATATATATATATATATGGATATTCTGAAGTTCTATACTGCCAGGTGGGAGTGTTGCGATCATGAGAATGGTTCCAGGCAGACTCTGTGGTATTTACTCCAGTCAGTGCTACTTAAGGCATGAATTCCCTTGGCCTCTCTCATTCCTCTCTTAGAGGCTGTGTTTGGAGGCCTTTTCTTCCTTCTGTCCTGGATGGACAGGCAGGGTTTGCAACAGTGGCATTTTTGGCGCTGTGATCTTGAGGCTGTCTGCGTGAACAGAAGAGCAGCTGAATTTTAACTCCACCAGCCTGTGCTCTTGCAAAGTGAAGTTCCAACAGGTTTTCGCTTCAGCGGGTCAGTGGTCACTTGGTCAGATTTGTAGTCACGTCCTAGCTGTGGTACTTGGGAGAGCGTATTGCCACACAGAGCCCGCAGAGAGGGCTGCTCACCCAGTCAACACCCTGCGTGGACCTGACAGAAGTGTGTTGCTGCTTCTGTGTCTGCAGTTTCACTGACGCTCAAAACACTGTCACTTTGCCTGGGCTTTTTACAGTGTGTTTCAACAGACTGGTCTTACACATCAATAAAGAGTCTTCAGCTTTAGGCACACTTCACTACCACAGAGTGAATCTCACTAGCATTAGTGAAGATTTCCCTTACTTTTCCGCAGAGGAATCGTGCCCTCTACCTCTTAAACTGCTCTTCCGTATCTCACTGGGTTTCCTTGGTGCCTTTTCACGCAATTCTCTTTCTACTTCTTATGACTACATTTCCTACAGCACATTTAACAAACTAAGCAAAATGTGACCCCAAGATTACTCCAGAGAACCTGATGAAATACAAATTAGTATTTATAAGAGTACTGTGGGGTTTTTTTCAATCCTGTTTGTTTTCCCTACAAAGCAGAGAGCTATAACTTGACTTGCTCCCCTGTGTATGCTAACACAAGGCAGTACATTTGTTTATTGTTACATAGGTGGATTCTTGATAGGGCTGTTGGGATATCAAATGAAGCTCATTGTTCATAAATGGTAATTCATCCTTCGCATCTGTCATATAAGACACTGCTGAAAAGAAATCATTCTTCTCTGAAGATTTCTAATGACATTTTCAGTGTCAATGGATAGTACTTATATAAGAGAAATGTTTGCAAAGTGAGGAAAAGATAAAAAAAGTGACTTCTGATTTTACATTTGGAACTCTTAAAGCTGACTACATTCATGTAACCAGTATAATTTGCTTTGCCAAAATAAATAATGCTAGTGAAAAACCCTGCGCAGGAATTATAATGCAGAGGGTAGATACACGTTTCCACAAAGCACAGAAAGTGTGTTATATTAGACAAAAACATTTAAAACAAATGGTTGATTTCTTACCTGTTTTCACCCCACACAAAAGGTAGATGAACACGACACAGAGCCTCAGCATAGGGACTTCCATATGGAACTTCTAGAGGTCAAAGATTTTAAGGCTCCCACAATTTCTTTGGCATGTGTCTGCTGTCTGACAACAGTTTGCTCTCTTTTTTTCTGGCAGTAGCAGTAGGTGTGGTGAAAGGAGGAAGTTACCAGCCAAGAAATGAAGATCAGTCTTTAGTTATACAACTAAAGCTTCTTCTTAAAAAGGTGGGGCACCTTCTATTCTACCAGGTGTCCATATTTTAAATATAGTTTGACCTGGGGAATGACTGATCAAAGACACAAATGATTTGGTATCACACTGTAAGCAGCAATTTGACTACATGTGTTGAAACTAAGGAGATTATTGCATGTCTCTGTCTTTTGCAAAGGATGTCAAAAGGCAGCAAAGAATGTAGGTGTCACTGCAAGTCTGATAAGCATCTGGGCAGGGCCAGCACTTGGTTTCACAGGGCCCTAACTGGTAGCATTCATAACGCTCCCTACTCTCCCATGCCCCTCTGGCTTTCCTGAGCCCTGTGGCCCAGCGTCCCTCCTAACCTATGACACTTAGTCACCCTGGAACCTCATGAATCCAGCTCTAATTCGCGTAAGAAAGGCTTTTTTTTTTCCCCTGCTGGAAGGAACGGGAGGAGGAAGATGGCAGATGCAAAGACAACTGTCAGGGGCAGGAAAAGAAGACTGAAATGTGAGCTGGAAGATCAAGTGGCAAAATTAGAAAGATGAGGGTGGTGGGGAGTTTGTAAAGGGGTGGGAGAGGGGAGGGGAAGACAGAGCAGGGATGGCTGGTGGATAGAAGCTGTGTGATAGCTTTGCCTAAGGTTTTCTTAGTGAATTCTCACCTAGGCCAGGGAAGGGGAACATGGGGAGGATCAGAAACCCCTCATTAAGCACAGGCTCTGTTTCTTTCCCCCTGATGATGATCCAAGGAGGAGGTGAACTATTGCAGTTCCCAGCTGCATAGCTGTTTCTTTGGTCCATGCTGTACGATATTAAGCTTTTTGATTTTGCTAATTCTTGGGTTAATCCTTAACTCTGCCTGCTGGCTGTCTGCAGCTCCTTCTTGTTCAGACAAGTGCAAGCTGCTTGTCTGGTGCAGGCAGGGATTACACCTCAGACAGAGGCGTGCACCCAGCAACGCACATGATTTTTTTCACAAGCACCTTGAGCTCTCCATCCTCATGCAGCTCAGCAATCACAGTCCCACAGGATGTGTGCTGTGGTACTGTGCTGTGATTCCATTTGGTAATCACACAGGCAAAAGTTGGGATTTGTTATTTTGAAGAGGATAAACACTGAAAAAAGGCACCAAAAAACTTCTGTGGATTCTGGAAGGTGCAGGCTCCAGGAAAGTGGTTTTTATGATGCACTGGCAAAAGAAAATAAATTGAAACAGTTTTCCTTCCAGTTCCTTTTTCCAGTAATCTTAAACTGTCAAAATATTTTCCCTTTAGCAAATTCTGCCAAGGGTGTGAAGAAATTGGTCCAACAGTGAAACATGCAAGATGAACTGAAGGCTTTTACGTATTGCAAAAGACATCTGAGAATCGGAGATAATATGAGATAAAGAAATCAAGAGGGCCCTGCCTTTCTTCTCAGTACAAAAATAGGTAACAGTTGGTTACTCTAAGCCCCATTTGTTTCTTTTCCCCATCACTTTCCTCAGATTTCCATTTCCCATCTGAGATAGCTTGTCCAAGTGGCTCTCAGTTCAATGGGTGGTACACTGGGACTGGCAGGCTCTTCCTTGTAACTCTCAGTTGTCCCTCAAAAGACAATGATTTTGAGTAACCACATTTTAGCAGAAATTAGACTGCCTACAGTATGCATATTGGCAAACACACCCAGGATGTCAGCACTGGAAATGCTATCCACCACCACCATCAAATCCTGAGCTAAATTCAAATAACCACCTGTGTTTACAGATTACTTCCAGCTCTTTAATTCTGTTGACCAATCTTTCACATCTGCCCCACACGACCTTCCTCAGCTGCATGCTAGTTCAAGATGGTAACAACTGACTTAGGGCTATTTGGTTTTTGTAGACTGAACTCTAGCCACAGAATACACAGGAATACTTCCTGGGATGTAAGCCTTCAGAGTCAGAAATGATCCCAGTGTGAGCTCTGAAATCAATAACAACTTGAGACAGTAAAAACTACTTCTTTTATCACATGTAGAAAACATTTAAGATCAGAATTGGCACCAACTTAAGAACAATTTAACAGAAGATCTGAAATAATTTTACATAAGAGAAACATTATGATAGTAGCTCTGAGGTGTCAGCCACACACTCATTTTAAACTGCATTTGGTCACTGTGAGTAGAACCATTGTTTGAATCCAAGCCTTTTCAGAAATGTTGTTTCCTCCTTGGAGAAGCTTATGACAACGATGGTCAGGTGGAGAGTACTTTTTATATTGCATTCATGCAGCCACTGCGTGGAATCTCACTGATTCACTAGTTTCCTGTGGGTGGAATGTTTTCATGGAGATACTGGAGAGCCAAATCTGTCCACTTCATTTCTTGCTCTTTCACAGACTCGGTTGTGCCACCATTGTCTTGCTCTGGTTCAGGAAGCTCATTCTGAGATAAAAAAAAAAGCAACAATGCATTCCACACGTAACACACCTCCTGAAAGCAGCAGAATACTTAGACTGCATATGCGTAAATAAAAAAATCCACAAATGAGACCAGAGGGTGCATCTGAACAATACATATCATACATCCTGATCCACTTAAAAAAATTACTAAGCCCAGTTATGAACAATATTCTTTTCACATGAATATGGTGCTTAATCTGAAAGGTAAATTGGTTTTCCAGGACCCTGGGGCCTTGCTATACACTCAGACTGCACACACAGTGAAGAAGAATATATAGCCAATGCAAAACAAGTAAATAATAGTACAATGCAATTATTCCATTGCTTGTTTGGAATGTGTTTCTTCTGCTGTTGCCAAGAATACAGATACTGCAGTTATTATAGCTGTTATTAAGACAACTCGTTCTGTAACATGTTACTTTCCTATGGCAGGTGAGAAATCCTTCCTCTTTCTACAGGCTGAACTCAGGTATGGCTGTGCTATATCAACAGTAGAACTCAGAAAACCTACCAGGTGCAACACAGAGCTGCTCAAAACACAGTGAGGAGGAAGTACAGTTTAACTGAGATTTCATTTTCTTTCCTTAGATTATTTGTTCTCTGTGCTGCTGTATTGGTGCAGTCACACAGAGTGTGTGTTATTCTGCCAGATACCATTTGGGCAGAAATTCTGAGTTCTAGGTCTCTGGAAATCCCAGCATGAACTAAATAATTTTTTTTTTTTTAGTTTTGAAAACAGCATATGATTCAAGCCCGTTTGAGTTCACAGGAACCTCTCGAGTGAGCACTGGCTCAGATGCTCAGGACAGGCTCAAATACTACTTTACAGCCAATCTGTTTGCTCCTTTACAATGCCACTGAGTAAGTCTCCTCTGAATTTGTGCTGGTTTTTCTATGTGATCAGAGCCAGTCCCACCCCTGGGGAATCTTTATACCCACAGCTGGGCCTTTCTTTCTATTGTCAGTTGGTGAGGCTTACTGCTCTGAGGCTGCCATCTGTATGTGACTGTAAGTAGCTCAAGAGATTGCTGTAAGGAAAGAAACAGTAATGTTTGGAGACAGGGTGAAGGCAAATGTCAGCAAGGAACTAGTTTATAATATTCAGTCTGCCCAGTAAAAGTTATCCCAAGCAAGGGGAGTTTGGGCTCTTGTATCTAAGAATCACAGTTCTGCAAAATCATTCCCTCAAGCCCAGATCTTGGCAGGAAAACTTGTGTGCCGTCTATATGGATTTTGGAGGCGTGTAGCTGTTCCTTGCCCTCTCTGAAAAGACAGCGGTGTAACGTCTAAAGCTTGAGCCATGTCACTAGCAATTTGGAAGTGTGTCTGTGCTAAAAGAAACTAGCAGCCTATTAGTGCCCAGGACCTTTGCGTGACTGCTTTGTCAGTGCTAGCCCCGGTAAAGCTTGTGTACCAGAGAGAACAAGGAAAGGGAAAATCCTCAGATACCTCTTGCTTTCCTGGTAGTTTCAAAATGCCTAAGGAAAAGCATCAGTGTGGGAGATCTGAAGCTTCAACTCTACGCTTTGTGGGATCAGAGGTAGCTTTTCCCTAGCTGCACCTCTCTGGCCTCGTAGCTGTACAAGCAGCTGTACACTGGATGAAAAGGTAGCTGCCCTGCGTTGGATGCAGCACCACATGCAAGAGTCCTACTGCAGATACCATTCGTTCACCATTGTCCTTGAATTGGCAACAGCAACACTGTATCTGGAACAGACTGATTAGGAAGAGGTTTGAAAAATTTTCGTCTTCTTTTAATGGAATTTCAGTAACTGGAAATATAGTGTAACCAAGACTGCAACTGTCAGCATGAGACTGATCCTCTCTGTTCTACAAACAAACTGGGAAACTACTTCAAACACCAGTAACATCAAGGGGCAGCACAGGGAAAGGACAATTCTGCTTCTCCCCGATGCCAAAGCTGATGCGATGGGAAGGGCACTCCAGTTCTGAGAAGATTTGGCAAATGGTCAGGGGAAGAAAAATATCCATCCTCATATGCACACAGGAATGACTGGCATATAGGACAAGAAATGAGTGAGTCGGATCCATCCCAGGAACCTTTTATACAAATGAACTCCACCACAAGCAATACTCCCTGTGGCATTTCTTGGAAGAGGCTGTGATAAACACACCGGTCTTAACTCGGATTTGTAAGTAACAATTCACCTACCAGTGGGATAGCAACATCCTCGTATGGCAATTTATCTTCCCTCCATGCATCATCGATCAAATCGAGGATCCTGCCATCCCTTTGCACTTCACTGTCCATGGTTGTAGCAGGCGAGTAGGCCTAAATCTGTGACACAAAGCACATACTGTTTCTGACATCTGCATCCCCAACCAAGCAGCTGGAGTTTGGCCTACGGGCTTGCTCTGGTTTTGATCCAATTTCTATTAAGCTTAAAATGTTATGGAAAACCTTGATTTTCCTAATCCACTTGAAATTGTTTTATAACCGCAGGAATGTTTATCTGAAAAGAACACTATCAAACTGAATTGCAGACTGATATGCATCAGAGATGAATACATAAACCTAGCCTGATATTATTATAGATTTACATGTGTTTATAGCTACTGACCTTTAGAAGTCTCTTGAGTGAGCTTGAGGACCTAGAGCTCCCCCCGTCCCCTCCAACTCTGCACAGAACTGTTGCTTACTGTTTGCTGCCTGCTCACCTGCAGTCCCTGATCAGTGCCACAACTTGCCCACACCTTCGTGGGGCTGGGAGAGTCAGGATAAAGGATTTAGTGGCATGCAAAATGCTGCCAAAACCTGAAACTGGTAAAACAGGAAGAAAGTAAGACCTGTCTTCCACCTTCAGCTACTGTCATCACTCCAGGGGTTTCTTGTGATCGTTTGATTAGCACTCTGCCCTCCTTGGAGTGCCACTCCAGGAACTCGCCCCTGTGTGGCTCCTGCAGCGCAGCAGCCAGCCGGAGGAAGCGCCGTCCTGCCAGGGTTGGAGACTGCTGGTACTTAAAATCGAGCCAGGTTTGGGACTCTTAGAGGCCGCAGGAGCCGCCTGGCCGTGCCTGGCTCCAGAGCCACCCGTTGAACAGGCGCTGCCCTTACACCCCGCCTGCGGAACGCTCCGGGCGGCCCCGCGGTGGGT